GCGGTGCGAGGGCCGCCGCCGCAGCTCGGACGTGAGCTCGTGCTTGAGGAAGCGGAAGACCTCCTTGGCTGGGCCGCGGCGCTCGGGCTCCAGCGCCAGGAGGCGCTGGAACATGCGCAGCGCCGGCTCGGTGAAGCGGCGCCACTGCGACGGCAGGCCTGCCAGGCGGCCCCGCTGCCAGCGCACAAACTCCTCGAAGAAGGCGTCGGCGCCTGATGCCGCCTCCCACGGGAAGTTGCCGGTGAGCACGCAGAAGATCAGCACGCCGAAGGCCCACACGTCCACGCCAGTGTCCACGGCAAAGCCGTCGGCGCGGCCCGCCTGGCATACCTCGGGAGCCGTGTAGGGGATGGTGCCGCTGACGCGCTTCACGCGGCAGCCCACGCGGCGCGTCATGCCAAAGTCGGCCAGCTTCACGCGGCGGCACTCGCGGTCGAACAGCAGCACGTTCTCGGGCTTAATGTCGCGGTGCACCAGCTGCCGTCCGTGCATGAAGTCCAGCGCCAGCCCCAGCTGCTGCACGCAGCGCTTCACCGTGTCCTCCGGGAGCCCGACCTGCCAGGACGGGGAGAGCTGCGCTCAGGGGGCCGCGCCCCGCGTCCAGCGCGCCTCCCTCCCGTCCAGGCCCCACCACTGCCGCTGGAGCGCCTGGCTCCGCTTTCCTGGCTGCCCAGCAGTTGCTCTGGGCCGCCTTCCGGACCGTCCCACCCTCCGCCTGGGCCTCGCCTCTCCCTCTGGTGGCTCAGCGCCGTGGCGGTGATCCAGGCACAGGCTGTCCTCCCACACCGCACCCGCACCCGCACACCTCCCAGCTCCCTCCGGCCTGGCGGTTTTCTGCCTTCCCCCACCCCCATGCTCCTTTTCCCCATAACTGCAGCCTGTTGTGGGCCAGGTGCTGTGCCAAGCGCCCTTTCACTGCCTCATCTCAATGCCTCACTGTTAGCCCATTTCACCCATAAGGATATTGAGGCTCTCAGGGGCCTTCTCTCTTACCCAATAAGTGGCAGAGTGAATTCAAACTTAGCCCTGGCAAACTCCAAAGCCGGGGTTCCGGGAATCCTTCTCCCCCATGGGGAAGCCTCGGGGGTCTCCCTCCTAGGTGGACCTGATCCCCCTGACTCTTGTACCCCCACTAGTTCCTATGGAGCTCCAGAGGATCCTGTTGGCCTTTGTCCCACCAGCCTGCTTCTTTCCTGTCAGTTTTGATCTTGATCTCTCATTATCTGGTTTATTCTATGGTGTCGGTTTCACTGTGTATCTATCTTCAACCCTCCAAACAGTGACTGACATACAGCAGGCGTTCAAGAAACATTTGTTGATAAAATGAGTGCTCTGACTCCCCCACCCTCTCACACTCTGGGGGCCTGGAAGACCATCTCCCCTCCCTACCCGAGCACCCCACGTACCTGAGGAGGGATGATGTCGAACAGGTCCCCAGCGGGTGCGTACTCTTGGGCGAAGACGTAGCAATCCTCAGTCTCAAAGACCACGTCGAAGACCTTGATAATGAAGGGGCTGGAGGAGAGGCTGTTGGTGATGCTCACCTCCCGCAGGAAGTTCTTCAGTTTGGTTTTGCTCTTGTTCACGAACTTCAGTGCCATTTTCATGCCTGACAGGGGCGACAGCAGCAGCGGTGAAGAGCCTGTCCCCCACCCCCTGCACCTGACACATACCCATACCTGTCCCAGCCACAGGGCACAATGGGGGCCTCAGCGGGCGTGACTGTCCTCATCCTCTAGGGAGGAAACAGACCCATAGAGGGGGATAGGATTTGCTCAAAGCCACACAGCAAGTCAGGGATCAACCTGGGTCTCCTGTAAGAAGTTGCCCGTATGTGCGGCCTGCAGCCCTGTGTGGGGCAGGGGTGGTGCGGAGGGCCTGCTGCTTCCTCCGCCCTCTCCTGTTTTCCTCCTGACATACTGTGTTTATGTTGTCTCTCTCCTCCAACTAGAATGTAGCTCCCTGAGCATGGGAACCCTTATCTTGTTCACGGCTATACCCCCAGTGCCTACAACAGAGCCTGGCACATAGTAGGCACTCAAAAAATATCTGCTAAATGGTTGAGTAAGAAGAAACTAGACACTGAGAAGTGTCCCCAGCTCTGTGCTTGGGCAGCGTCTGTACCCATCTGGGCCCACAGCCCTGTGATGCACACATGCGTGTCCACAGGGCATGTACATATCACAGGACCTGCCTTCAGCTCTTCACATTTACAACTCACTCTTTGTAATGACCCTATGAGGTTAGCACTAATGTCACCCCATTCTGCAGAGGATACCAAGGCACAGAGAGGTTAAATAATTTGCCTAAGGTCATACAGCAAGTAAGTAGCAAAGCTCAGGTGACCCCATGTCCAGTGCTCCTCCTGCTGTCCACAGCTGGCACAGAAGCCCCACGCCCCAGGTGTGTGCAGCTGTGAGAGCTCATGCAGCACCCCCTGCCCCTGACTGGGTGAGTGGGCACCTCCGTGAGCCCCCACGTGGGAGAGACACCGAGCTCAGTGGTTAAGTTCAAACCCACAGTAGCTACATGACCTTGGCTAAGTGACTGAATCTGTCTGGGTCTCAGTGTCCTCATCTGAGAAATGGAGATGGCCAGACTGACCTCACAGGGTCATCTCACATCACCCTTTAAGCATGGTACCCTGTTCCCAAGGACCTACCCTGTGTCCGCCTCCCTGGGGCCAGCTACTACCGATATGCTGGTGATTCCCCAAATGCCACCACCAGTTCTGACCTCTCCCCTGAGCTCCAATGACCCTGTGCACATGCCCTTGGCTGTCCCACAGATACCCTAGATAGACCCAAAGCAGCCCACCCTCCAATCTGGGCACTTCGTCCCAGGTTCCTCCCTTGCCCCGTCTGCCCAGTCTCCTTCTCCTTGTGCCACTTTAGGCTTCATCCTCTCCACCTGGGTCATCACCTCTGCCTCCTGGCTGGCCTCCTGGCACCCATGGAGAGTACTGGAGAGCCCCAGGCAGATCTGAAAGCTGACCATGTCCCCCAGCCTTAAACCCTGCTGCCCTGAAGACACTCACCTGTGCCCTTGTAGGCTACCAGGTCGACCTTCCCATAGGTGCCTTTGCCCAGCTCCCGGACAAGCTCGTAGTGCTTGGTGACGTCGCTGGCAGCCAGGGTGCGGAGGGTCAGCGCCTGCATGTCTTCAGTGAGAAGGGGCACACCGGCTCCCGGCCCAGGGGTGGCCCCCGGCCCACAGCAGGGCAGGGAGTGGGGCGGCTCAGGCTCTGGGCAGCCCACACTCATCTTCTCCCTGTTGTGGAAGGTATGACATGGAGTGTAACATCAAGCCAGGGCTCCCTCCTTGCAACTAGCAGCCAGGACTGGGCCCAGATGCCAGGCCTAGGGTGACCACAAGGGGGCAACAAGCATCTTTGCTGCATCCCGTTTCCCCAAAGCTTCAGGGGCAGGACCTGAACCAGCAGTCCCTACAGACACAGTCGCTATTCCCTGCTACACATGGGTACCACCGCCCATTTGTCTCACACGGTCATCCAGATGCAGTGTCAGCAAGGCACATGTGTTTACTGTCACACAAAGACATGGCCACGTACCGAGTTCACACAGGAGTTCTCCCATTCACAGGTTCCCTGGGTGCACAGCCCTGAACAAACAGTTAAGAGTCCCTGCCCTCATGGGGCTTACATTCTAGGAGAAGATGGACAGTAAGCATAGCGAATACACGAATTATATACTATGACCAAAAGTGCTACGGGCTGTAGAGAAAATAAGGCAGGGAGAGGGAAAGGGGAGGTGCAGATATAGCCACACAGTAACACAACCACACACACAGTCAGGATCTCAGAGCCTGTCACACACAGCCACACACCAACCAGAGCCTTATAACCCCTCCCTCCCCCACAGACGACAACACCCCACCACCACCACCAGGTACACACCACTACGCTGTGTCCCGGGGTCCCGCCCAGCCCTTGCCCTAGACACAAGGCCTGCTTCTGTCCCACAGAGACCCAGCCCTCCCATCACATTCACAGACTGACTCTGTCACAGTACCAACACAAAGCTGGGGTGGCCTTCCTGGACACAGCCTCAGGGTGTGTCTCCGAATGGACTGGGTGTCCTTGAGTCTACCTGTGGGTATTGGGGAGCAGAGACCTACAAGGGGGTACAGTCCAGAGCTGGAGGCAGGGGACCTGATTCTTGAAGGCTCCAAGTGGGTGGCGGTAAGCAAGTCCCTCTCTATCTGAGGCCTCCATTTCTTGTCTGTAAAATGGGGGGCAGAGCCTTTTACGGGTGCAGCGTGTGTGTCTGTGTGTTTACCAACAGGGGAGGCCTGGTACTGACCGCCCTATACCTTCCCCTGCCTCTCGGCCTCCAGCCCCTGGAAGCCTGCCTCTGGTGCACCCTCCCTCTGCCCTCACCTCATTCCCCTCTATCACTAATCCGACGGGTCGCAGCCAGCACCCTCAGCATCCCACCGCCTGCCTGTCAGCCACTCCCTCCATGCAGCTCCATGGCTCCAGCTGAGAGAAAGCACGGATTTGGAGTCTGTTGGCTTGGGTTTGAATCCCAACTCTGTCACTTACTAGCTGGATGCCCCTAGGCAAGTGACTTTCTTTCTTTGTGCCTCAGTTTCCTCATCTATAAAAAGGATATAGTAATAGTACCTGAGGAGTCCCTGAGCGCTGCAAACGGTTAAGTGCTCAACTACTAGCCAAAAGGTTGGCGAAGTATCGGGGATTCGAACCCACCCACAGGTGTCTCGGGAGATAGGGCTGGCCATCTGCTTCTGAAAGGTCACAGCCTTGAAAACCCTATGGAGCAGTTCTACTCTGCACACATGGGGTCACCATGACTTGGAGTTGACTCCACGCAACCAGCAACAACAACGAATAGTGTCTTCCTCCTAGGGGCTGCTGTGAGGATTAAGTTAACAGACGCGGAGAGCTCCGTGTCAGACGTTGCTGCTATCGTTATTTCCTGCATGGTCTCCTGCTAAGTAAGCAAGAGCGGCTGAACATGCTGGAGGCTGGCAGTGGGGGGGCTCTCCGTGCACCCAGCATCCTCACCCTGCTTAGCAGCTCTCCTCCCAGGCCCCCAGCCCCCTTCTCTTCCTCTACCTTCTCCTTAACTCTCGACACGACCCAGCCTCCCACTTCACACGGAGAGGACCGAACGTCAGGAGGGAACTTCCTGGCCTCCCACCCAGACACAAATGGAGCTCCATCTGCACCGTTCTCTCAGCTGGCTGGGGAAGGAGGTATCCCCCTCAGCTTCGGCTCCCACCCCTTCTGCTTCCTCAGGAACCTGCTCCCCCCTCCCTCTGCCCCCTTCCCCTCCATTCATGAGCTAGCTCAAGTCTTCCCTATTCTAGTAGAGCCTTCCCACCCCCCGCCTTTTCTCTTCTAGTTGATTTCCGTCGAACGCATGCAGGGAGTCTGTCTGAAATGCCACATTGCCGCCTCAGAGTCTACTCTGCAGCCCAGGCTAGCCCATTTCACAGACCCTCAGAGGGAGGCGTGGTGCCAGGCCCACAGATTCCCAGCCTCTGCCACTCAGAGTGCTGAACCAAGCCTTGACATGGCCCTTGCCACCACGTCCCTATGCAGCCTGACCTGGGCTGGATAACACTGGCCTCTCTATGCTGCAGTCACCTACTGGGCTGCAGTGGGGTGATAGCCCCCCACAATAGTCTCTCCCTGGCTTTAGGGCTGGCAGGGATCACCTCTTCCAACCCCTGTTGAATGTGTGGGTGATGCAGATCCTGAGGTGAAAACCGGAGATGCCCTTGGAGGCAACAGGGAGGCAGCCTAAGGGCAGTGTGTCCTTGGGCCTGTCTGTGGAGGGGGCGGCTGTCCCCGAGGGGTGCCGTGCTGGGAGCACTTCACTCCTGCCTGCCACGGAGCTACGCTAGCTGCTCTCCTGACCTACTTCTCCTGATGTGTGTGGCCTCCCCAGCGGCTGCTGAGGTGAGCGGGCCATGCATGTACAGGCACATGTGTACACAGGTGTGTACCTTCTCCCACTCAGGGCTTTGACCTTGCCAGGTCGCTTCAGGCTGTTTCTGCATCTCTAGGGAGCCTGACTGGAACCTCAAGTTGCTGCGAGTCCTCTTGCCTCCCTCCCTCCCTTCTTTCCACACCCTGGGACTGTTGGGTGCCCTGAATAGATACCGGCTGGGTCAAGGCACAGCCACAGTGTGTGGGGGGGGTTGGGGCCCCACACTTGCCCCCTCACCCCAAGTTCAGCCCATGCTCTGACCACCACCCTGCACTGCCTCTCTCCTCTACAGTCTCCTCCACCATTCCTGAACAACCTCTGCTGCTTGCCTTCACCTCCCCCTGCCCCACATCCCATCCCCTGTGTCTCAGTATCCTTACGCCCCCTCCTCCAGGAAGCCTTCCCTTGTGCCCTAGCAGGTGCTGATCCTGCCTCTACTGAACCCCCAGGATTCACACAGGGTCATCTGTCCCTGTCTCAGGACCCCAGCTGATGTCTTGGGGTGGTCTCAGCTGTGTCCCCATCAACAGGCCAAAAGCTCCTTGGGGCTGGGGCCAGATTCAACCCCCTCCTCCATTCTTTCCCTTGGTTCCTAGGGACTAGTTTTGGGGGTCCCCCTACTCCCCCTTCCATTCCTCCCCGAACTCCTTTTTCCTGGGGCCTCCTCCTTCAGGCGTGTTCTCTGCAAGGCATCAGCAGGAGACGAGGACTTAATCCACACCCATCCCTGCTGCTGCGTCATCCCCCAGGTACACACTGCCTCTGACCCAGATACAATGCATGTGACTTAAGAGGCACATGGGGAGCAGTGGAGACAGCACGGGCCTTGAGGCTCGACAGGCCTGGCCTTGGGCCTAACGTGCTACTTTTTAGCTGGGTGACCTTGAGCAAGTCATGTCACTTCTCTGGGCCTCAGCTTCCTCATGCATACAACGGATAAAACAATGACGACAACAATAATAGCAACGATGGCAGCTAACACTTACACAGTACTTACTATGGGCAAGGCCCTCTTCTAAGGATTAACTCGTTCAATGTTCACAACTCTATAAGGTAGTTGTAATTATTATCCCCACTTTAGAGATGAGGAAAATGAGGCACAGAGAGACTAAGTAACTTGCTCCAGGTCACACAGCTAATGCTCAGATTGGCTCCAAAGGTGGTGTTTTATTTTGAATAATATTTTATTGTGTTTTTGGTGAAGGTTTACACAGCAGTTTAGGTGCCCATTCAACAATTTATACACAAACCATTCAGTGACACTGGTTATACACTTCACAATGTGTGAACAGTCTCATTATTTCTGTTCTGGTTGTTCCGCTTCCACCCGTCTAGTTTCTCTGCCCCCTTCCATTCTCATCTTTGTTTTAAAGTAATTGTTGACCATTTGGTCTCATATAGATGATTTTTTAAAGAAGCACAGTACTCATGGGTGACATTCTTTATTTTATGAGCCAATCTGTTATTTAGCTAAAAGGTGACCTCAGGGGGTAATTTTGGTTCAAGGTTTGAAGAGTAACTCACGGCAATTGTCTCGGGGACTCTTCCAGTCTCAACTGGTCCAGTAAGTCTGGATTTTTAAGAACTTGAGGTTCTGTTCCACATTTTTCTCCCATTCTATCAGGATCTATCTATTGTGGCCCTGATCAGCATAGTCAGTAGTGACAGCTGGGCACCATCTAGTTATTCTGGTCTCGGGGTAGATGAGGCTGTGGTTCGTGTAGACTGTTAGTCTTGTAGACTATTTTCTTCTCTGAGTCTTTGAGTTCCTTCTTTCTCCTTTGCTCTGGATGAATAGAAACCAATAGTTAAAGGTGGTGCTTTTAACCACTATGTTTTTCTGAGTCAGAACGTCGGCAACAGCTCATCCGGCACCCTCGGTAGCCAGGTGGGGCAACCAAGGCCCAGTACAGAGCAGAGCCTCAGCCAAGGACACCCTGCACACACCCAGTTCCTGTTGAGGGCCAGCTGGATGCCAGGCACTGGTCTGGGTGTTGCACACGTGGTAACTATTTAATCCTCATGACAAGCCCATGCAGAAGGCACATCAGCTCCTTGTTACAGATGGAACTCAAGGCCCAGGGAGTGAAGTAAGGTGCATCTACCTCACTGACTGCTGCAAGGATCAGGAGGCCCCTGTGTCTGGCATTGGTGGGAACTCGATCACAGAGGTATTTTAGCATCATTATCATCACTGCATTCACTTTCAGGAGCGGCTGTGGATTTTTCAAGCACCAGGGTGGAGGGGGATGGATCCTCTGGCTGACCTGAGTCCACCCTGTGTG